CCTCGGGGGTCGCTCAGAGGGACCACCATCTCTCAGGTTGGAGCGCAGCCCCGCCCCACACCCGCTTTGCTTGGGGGTCCTCCCACCGAAACTCTCCCAGGTTTCTTCCCAGTCTCCATCCCTCGAGACGGTCGCTCATCCCTGTTTCCTATGTGTCCCTCGGCCCTTTCTGCAGCCCCCAGGCCTCAACTCCTTACCCCAGTTTGGGCAATGAGCTGCACCACTCTTTGGCCCAGGCCCGGGACATGGCGGGTGGGTGGGCGCCGAGGGCCTGGGAGAAGGGCGGAGCGCTGTGCCGGACAGGGGATGAGGCCGGGTGACGGCGGCGACGCCGAGAGTCTGCAGTGTGTGAGCGAGAGTGAGCGCACAGCGCCCGGCGAGCAGGTGCCTGTGGCGCGGAGAGCGCACCAGCGAGCCAGCAAGCAGCGGCCGTGAGTGACGGCAGAGGCGGCGGGGGTGGGGTAGGGTAGGGAGCGCCGGGCACGACTCAGGGCTCGGGAGGTTTCTGGGCGGGGGCGGGGTTCTTGTCCCTCGATAGCCGGTCCCTGCGTACCCACACGTTCCTAGCCAGCGGTTACCCGCTCTTTACTCAGTGCAAAGGAAAATCCGGGCGACTGGAGGCAGAGGTCGAGTCCACAGCCGCTATCTGGGGGCCCATCCCCCGCTCTTGCAGCCCCTGCATCCTGGTCTCCCCCAGACTTCATCTGAGCCTGCCATCTCCTCAGACATCTGAGGGAGTGCGGTCTGGTCCCCGAAAGGAAATATAGGGCTGACATATGGTTGGGACCGGGTACATAGTCTCCGGTCTATGGGTCTATTCTCCTTCCTCTTGGGAGTCCCCAGCCAGTGAATTTCAGTTTCTCTGTCAATGCCCCAGCCCTGTCCTGCAGCCCTGACTCGAGGTTGGGGTGCAGCAACCTAGTGGATTCTGTATCTGCTTTTCCTACTCACTAGTCTCCGGGGAGGCACCGCCAGAGGGTTCCCAGAGAGCCAAGGAGAAGGAAACCAGAGGGAAAATACTTTCCAGCAGCCACCCTGGTCCTGGCTGCCAGGGGCACAGCCTCCAAGAGGAAGAAGCTGCAAGCTCTTTCTAAGCCTTGTCCTCGCCAGAGGGGTGCCCCTGGGCATCGCCCTGCCTCCTTCCTGGGCCTGGGTTTCAGTTTCCTCATCTATGGCCAAGGAGTCATTTCTATACCCCGGGTCACTGTTGCTCATCTATTAAGCCCTTGGTTACCAAAGTCCCTCCTAGGGTCTCCAAAGATGCAGTTGCTAACTCCTTCTGTCACTGTGCCACTTACCAGCTTTCCCTTGGAAATTCCATTTGCCCCTAGAAACCACTATGGATTGATGAATGTAAGACCCTGCAGGGCCCATTGCTGTCCTCAGCTTCTGAAGGGAGGGGGCAGACTTGCACTGTGCCACACTGATTCAGGACCATAGTGGAATTCTAGGAAAGCAGATTTCATTTGGGGACTAATTACAAACAGGATTCCCATGGCAAGAGCTAGCTCACAGTGCAGTGGCTTGCCTGAAGGAGCTGCAGTCTCCTCTCCAGATCCAAGCAGGACCCCTCCAAGCAAGGGCTGATGACCAGTGATCAGGGATGTGCAAGGGGAGAATTCCTGCAGCTAGAGGGAGTCATATCTTGATTACCTTTAGGGTTTGTGGATCTTCTATGTCCTTATCACCTTGTGGGGTAAGATGTTTCTTGCTCATGGCATGATGGGGTTATTTTTATTAGTAAGAGTAAGAGCCATATATTATCACATGGTTTTCACGTAGCAGACAACTGGCTACTCACTTTCCACGCTTTGGTTCTCAACAGGACAGCTGATATCCTTCTCAAACAGAAATCACATTACTTTCTCATGCTCAAAACCCTTCAGTGGTTCCTATTTCACTTGGCATAAATACCAGTGGCTTGACAAGGTCAAGTGATTCACCTTTCCAATCCCTGCTTTCTCCTCTGCCTTCAACTCTTTGTGTTTTCTATCCTCTCTCTGGTTCACACTTCTCTTACCACATTGTCTTCCTTTCTGTAATGCATTATACTGGGTATGCTCCCACCTCAGGGTCTTTGCACCAGCTATACCATCTGGCTTGGATGCCCCTCCCCCAACCACCTGCTTGGCTAACCCCATTATGTTCTGTTTTTTTTTTTTTTTCCCCAGAAAGTCACCTTCTCAATGAGGCCCCACCTGGTCTACATATTTAATATTGCAATCTGCAGCTTCCTGCCCAGCAGTCCCAACTTCTCATCCACATCTCCCTTTTTACCTTCCAAAGTATTGTACAATTGTTCAAGGTTTATAAAACTCTTTGCTTTGTTCCCTGATGCATCTCCAAGCCCCTACAACAGGGCCTGGCACAGAATAGATGCTCAGTAAATATTTGTGGAGTGCATGAATGGGGTTGTCATTTTATCCCAGTAACAGCCCTGTAGGGGAGACATTGTGATTTCACCTAATTTTATGGGTGATGCGGCTGAAGCTCAGAGAGCTTATGAAAATTCCCTGAGTTCACACAACTAGTAAGGGCCAAGTGAGACTTCCACCCAGGTCTGTTTTACTCTGAGGTCCTTGTTCTTAATCAAAAACACCCAGCTCTTCCCTACTGCAGGTAGGACTGTGGTCCCCACACCTGGAGTTGGTGAAGAGAGCAGGGCTTCCTGCCTTGGACTGAGGGCAGTCAGGGGCATCCTGGTAGAGCCTTGCAGTCTCTTCCCTGACCATTCAGCTGTATGGAAAGGGGCTGTTTGCTCTTTTGTCCCCTCTTGTAACTGGTGCAAGCAGCTGTTGGACCTTCTTCTCTGTGTCCTTAACTCCTATCTGGGTCTGATCCATCTTTAGACCCAGAAAATGTTTAAACTAGGAGCACTGTTAGGGGTGTTGGGGAAGGGGCACTTTACCCCTTTTCCTAGGGTTTCCTGTGGGCAGGGCAGGGATTTTGACTCAGTCCTTTTGCCAGTTGGAGGATCAGGATGCTGAAACCAGGCAGTGGTTCCCACTGGACCTTGCCGGTGCCTGGCCACCCACTCCCTGGGAGGAGCTGGCTCCCTCTTCACACATCCTGGTGGTCTCTCAGCTGGAGGTTCTAGAAGAAGGTGTCTGTGGTGGAGTGTTGCTTCTCCCAAAGGGATGCTTCTCTCTGGGGACAGAGCTATTCAGCCCTACCAACCGCAAATGTCCTTTGGACTCCCACAGAGATACCCTGTTTAGAGTGAATCTTGCTTTCCTCAAGTGAAGCGGGTTTCCTGCTGATAGACTTGTGAGCACAGTTCACAACTGTCTTGTTTCCAGACCTGATTGCTCATCAGTGGGTGGTGACAAGCATTTATCCTCCTTCTCTCCCTCCAGGCACAGCTCTGAAATGCCTGTGGGGTCATTGTGTAAAGGGACCTGGTAGTGAATACTCCCGTAAGGTGACCAGTGGGGTTTTAGTTTATCTGGCCCAGGTTTGGGCTTGCTCCTGTCATGCCCTGGTTTCCGTGTGCCCGGCCTCAGTGCTCTGTCACTTTCCTGCCATCACCCACTGCTCTTGTTGGGCTTGGACTTGGGATGCGTGGCGCTTGTCAATATCATTTTGTGGACGGTTTCGCAGGGCTCTCAGAGGTACCTCAAATAGCACTATTTAGAAAAAGCCTGCCCAGTCACTTGTGAAAGCGACCTTAAATTACAGCCCTAAGTGAAGATGTCGTTCCTTGGAACTCACTTTCAAAATTTATTTATTTTAATGCTCAGGTCCTCTTGGAGTTGGGGTTTCGATATTCTTGTCTCGGCTGACCTTTCCCGTCCTCCCTGTACCACGTACAGCAACATTGATTTTGGGTAATGTATTTTGATTTTAAGATGCAGCCCATCCATAAACTTTTCTATCAATAATCCCAGCACACCCTGTGTACCCGACAGCTTAAAGCAAAATATCAGATTTATAGGACTTTTATTTTTGGCCAATTTAGTCACTCACTTGCCATCAGTGTCAGGGGATAAAGGCCTGGAGTCTGGCAGCAGGAAGACTTGCCCTCCAAGGACACATGTCAGGTCAGTGAGGGATTGGGTGGGAGGGCAGGCCTTCTCGGTGCCCTGTAAAAACTGCTGGGGATTGATAAGGAAGAGATGGCAGAGTGCTCCTGAGTCAGGGGGAGGGCAAGTGACAGGGCTCATATTGGGTTCCTTTGGCCTTCTTTGGTCCCACCTGTCATCAGCTTGGAGTGCCAAGCTGGGTTCTAGCCCCTGTACTGCAGAGTCAGGAGAGGGCGTCTCTGTTCTCTCAGGGTTTAGGGCCTGGCCCTGTTTGTGTGCCCTTGGCAACGTGAGCCTGGCTCTCGGTCAGCCTGGGCTCAGCTGGCTCAGGGAGGAGACCCACAGCTGCCAGGCCCCAGGATCTGGCCTGTCGTCATTTTCATTGCCTTGTCAGTGTCCCCTCCCTGAGTCCCCAGAGCCTGGGGCTGTGTTTGCTTGTCAGAGTCAGGATTGATTGGGCTTGGGAATTGTCTAGAGAAGGGAAATGAAGAGGGAGAAGCTCCAGGCAGAGCCTGTTTCACTTCAGACATTCATTCAAGCCAACGTGTCCTGAGCACCCGATTTCCTCATTGGCCAGCACATACCTATGGCCACCTACTCTATGGTGTAGGTGCTGGGGCTTTTGTAGTGAGCCAGGGAAATTTTCTGCTTGCCGAGAACCTGCATTAAGCCAGAGAAGGGGAAGAGAAAGACCCTCAAAGAGGAAACCAAAACAGCCCGATCATTTCATCCAGTGGTGGGTAACAACACCCAGCTCCCCTCCCTCTGCACTAAGTGATCAGGGGGAGATCTGAGGGGGGGGGGCCAGCCAGGCAGAGACATGGGAGAAGAAGAGGGCTTAGCATCAGGAGCAGCAAGTGCCAAGGTTAGGGTAGAGGGTAAATGTGGTAGAACATACTGAGTTTCAGAGGCATGGTGAGGTGAGGCAGGGACAGTACATTGGGGCTGGGTGGTTAACATGAGGATTTCTGTGCCAAGAAGAGAGAGGCTCAGATTGAACAAGATATGGCCCTGGTCACGGTGCATGGAGCCTAGTGGGTGAGCAAATCCAGCACGTACTGATCCGGCCTCTAGCAGGAGACCTTCAGGGAGGAAAGAGGTAGATCCTATCCAGGAAGGCTGCCTGACTTCAAGCTGAGTCCTGAACACACAGGAGAAGGTGATTGGCTTAGCTGGGGTGGGGTCAGTGTGTGTGTCAGCATCTCAAATAAGCAGCTGACTGTGCAATCCTGTGGAAGTAGGAGATCTTGGGTTGTGGCAGGGACAGAAAGAAAAGCCTAGGGTGACAGGATCATCAGTGGGGTTGAGGGACAGGATAGGCTAAGACTCTGAACTCAGTGCTGAGGAGGTCTTGATGATCTGCAGGGTGGGGTGGGCTTGGAAGCAAGGAAACTGGCCATCCCATCCAAGGTGCAAGACTGTAGGCTGGGAGTCCAGAGCAGAGGCAAGGTGGTTGCCACAGACACCTCCTTATTTGGACCCAGCTCTGAGAAATGTCCTTACCTCTCACCTTTTTTGGTTCTCTGTTCTCCTTGACCTTGGGAGCTGACACTCACAAATAGCAGCACACCCAGCACAATTTAAGTGTGAAGGTTTGGGGGTGAGCCCCATGGTGCCCAAGTTTGGCAGTGCTCAAGTCTTTGCCTTATCCTTCCTGGTTCCTCAAAATTCTGGATTTAGTTGGGAAAACATCAACAATGATTCTGATGAGTGTCATCTGAGCAAGGTCTTGTCTCCATGGCCTGGGTTGTCTGTGGATCATGGGACAATTAAGTAAAAAGTAAAGTGAAACAAAGCAGAACAAGGTGGTGTCCAGAGCTCTAGAGTCGGATGGACCTGGTTTCAGATCCTGGCCTTGTCTTGGCCTTTCAGAGCCTCAGCTTTCACATCTGTAGGAAGGGTGTGCTAACATTGTTGAGTGCAAAGGGTGGACAGGAGGATCCATTTTGAGAGCAGCTTGCTCAGCAGCTGGGGTGTAGTATTAGCAGGGTAGCAGCACACATTTTAAAGCACATGTGTTTGCTGCCTTTGGTGTTATGAGGATGGAGGATGGGCATTTTGGGGTCCTTTCTGCCTGCCTTTGCACCTGGGTACTGGGAAGGGAAGGTGCTATTAGAGGAGAAGGGGAGTCAGAACTTGGAGGCGATCAATGGAGCTGCGCATCCCCTAATGGATTTTATTATAGTCTCTGTGTGTATGTGTGTGTGTGTGTGTGTGTGTGTGTGTGTGTGTGTTATTTAATCATTTGCCAAAATAAATCTTACAGACCCATGGAGAGTTTATTTTTTTTTATTTTTAATATTCTCAATACACTCGGGGTTTTATTTCCCACTAGATCTATTAGTTTAATTTAGTAGAGGACAGTCTGTATACTTAACCAAAAATTGCTTTGACATTATGGAGAATTAAGAGGCTGGGGCCAGATGGATCTGAGCAGATCGATCTGTTTGAGATAAACTCTGTTATTTCCCCATGTGCTTTCTTCACCTTAATGGCAAGGACGGTGATTGGAAAACACAAAGCTGGCTATTAATGACTAGGGGTCAGCCCAGAGGATCAGGGCTCTTGCTCTGATGCTTTCTCCAGACCTCCTTCAGGACACTGTCTGATGATTCCTGTGGAGATGCTTTTGTGGGGGATAGAGGCATCTATGGTTCCCCTCGATCCTCGTGTTTACTCCTGCTGGTCTTGGTCTCTCTGGGACTGACTGGCTTCCTGAAAATTCAGCCTCAATCCATCAAGGGACCAGTGTGAGCACAAGGTCTGGGGCATGGTGCTATGGAGGTAGCAGTGTGTGTGTGTGTGTGTGTGTGTGTGTGTGTGTGTGTGTGTGTGTGAGGTGGGGGGAAGTCCTAGCTTAGGGATGGATGCTGCTATTGAGGGATTTTCACTGAGTCTCCACTATGCTGAACTCAGCTCCTCCTGTTGGAGGGCACCAGGACCTTGCCTCCCAGGGCTGATATGGGGTCAATGAACTGATGTCTAGAAAGTGACTTTGTAAATCATCATGAGGTAGATTTATGTCAATGATTATGGACAGGTGTCCCTTGCATTTCTGGATTCTAGAAGTGGCTCAGAAAATGCCAATCACATTGAGGATTCAGGACCTCAGGACTCTGGCATCCCTCTGTAACGTTCTGGGCCACCATGGTAGGTTTCTGACCAGAGCACCCTAACAGGATGCCAGGCACTGAGGGACACAAGAGGCTCTGGGGCACTTGATAACTCATCTCCATGCCCTGATGGTGGCTCCAAAGGTGAAAGCAAAGTAGATAGATCCTTGATCCCATCAGTACTGTCTTGGGCTGAGGAGCTCCTGCAGTTCCAGCAGAAGACTCATCTCTGGCTCTACCTAGGAGTTTCAAGGTTGGGTTCAGGAGTCTGTCTCTAGTCCCAGATGGTCCACCCTGTCAGGCCAGCCCTGGACAGATGGCCTGTTCACCCAGCACTGTGACTAACTCTGCCCAGCTGGAGTCTATTTTTCCTCTAGGAAATCTTCCACATAATCTCTTTCTCCCTCCACATTTGTCTGCCTTTGTTGTTGTTGTTGGTGGTGGTGGTGTTGTTCCCATACCGAGTGGCCCTCAGGTATGACTTTAAGCTCTTGTTCCAGGAGAGCTCAGTCTTACTTTCATTTCACAGTTCAACTTCCAGGAAGAGGTGGTGACTATGGGGACTCTGTGTTGGGTTCTCTGAGACCACATCAGGTGATTAGTGATGTCTTCCATTGGCCTGGGGCAGGGGTGAAGAGGAAAGGGGCAGGATTTGCCACCTCCAGAGTGGCTTCCTGGACCTCCTTGGGAACTGGACAGGGCTTCCGCCTTCTTGACCTTCTCGTGCATTCCTCTCAAGGCCAGCATAGGGCTAGTCCGTAGGCACAGGTAGATCTGTGCCTGGAGTTGGCAGACTTGAGGAGACTTTCACTGTTCACTTTCAGTGTAGAGGCAGGTGTTTAAGAGGGAGGACTGGCTCCTGGCAGTGCCTTATTTCAGCCCAGCTCCCTGCTTCTGCCCAGGAGGGTTCACCTGGGGAAAAATGTGCACAGTCTGAGTCTTTCCAGGACAGAAGCTATGCCCAGTTCATCCTTGTACCTACCTGGACACCTTGTCTGGCATGTGGCAGATGCTCAATGGGTGCTGGGTGGCAGGAAGCCAAGGCAATTATACAACTTTCAGTGAATTCCCAGGTCCCTGCCATTCTCTAAAAGTAACCTTGGTCTTTCTTGGTCCTGTCCTGGGTGCTGGCTGTGGAGCTATAGTATGGGGGTCAGAAGGTAGGGACGAGCTCCTGATTTAAGATCATCTTTAGCTTCAGAACCCCGTTAGGTCTGGGCCACCCTGAAGGTCAGTTCATTACCCCTGCTTCAATATAAATATGCAAATGTGTAGACAGGGTCCAAAATGGACAGGGTGTTTCTATGGGGACTCCCATCCTGGTCTGAGTAGGCTGAATTCTGCCATCTAAGCTCTTGCTCCCCTTGGCGCTGATGCCGAGGCCTGGGAGTGGCTTTCTGGCACTGCCATGACCTTCACGCCTGACTTGCCCCTTTAGAGTTTCTTCTGCCGATAGACTGGCAGCTGCCAGCGCTGCTAGGTTTGTGAAATGTCAGTGGTTTAATATCAATTCTGGAGGTTTTATTGCCTCCCCCCCCCCCAGTTTTCCGATGGGATTTTGATCCAATCAAGGCCAATCCAGAGTGATGGTAGATTTGTGTTCCTGTCCGAAGTTGACAAAAGGTCACCCTGCCTGAGGAACGGCCGGCTGCCACGGCCATGCACACATGGGATTTCTCTGCTGCCCCAGCT